CGGACCACCCTCGCCACCCCCCCATTTATGACCCCCCTACTACGCAACGCCCAAGTCATGGATCTCTGTTGGCCCCCGGGGGCCCGGATCTATCCATATCCAACGCCTGCCGAGGTCCTCGAAAGTTGACTCCTCCTCCTCCTCCTCCTCCTCCTCCTCCTCCTCCTCCTCCGGTGGTCACGTATAAAGTCCTGCCTCGGACTCACCGCCAAGCGCATGCACGACGGCCGAGCCCCCACCGCCAGGAGGAGCCATCCACACCCTGCGCGCAGCCCGTCAGAGGTGAGTCGGGCCTGTCCCCTACAGGGGGATCTTCGACGAAAAATTAGAAAGATACCCCCAAAATAATTAAAATAGTCCAAAAATAGTCTGGGGACTATTTTTGGAGTATTTCTGACCTTCGTTGGACTATGTTCGGGGTATCTGTTATCTTTCGTCGCGGAAAGCCTCCTGCAGGGGGATACGCCCGACTTCATGCCAGAGCTACCCGCACGTTGACTTCGAGTGCGACATGCTCGGCTCCAGCCATGGCCTCCGCCTGCCCAGCGAGACCTCGAGGCCGCCCGTGAGGGCCCCGCCCCCTCTCCCTGCCGGCACCGCCCTCCGCTGGTGCTGCTCGTGTGGCACCGTTGCGGGCCAGAGGGCCAACCGAGGATGTCCGAGGGCTCCCAACTCCGCGCTTCGCGCTGCGCGAAGCGCGAGGTGCGACTAGCTTCGCGCTCTCGCGCCGCCTCGAGAGGAGAGGAGGACGAGGAGGAGTCGGAGCCGAACCGCGAAGCGCGAAGCGCGAATCACTTCGCGCCCTCGAGGGCGCCCTTGGTCCTCCACCAGTGCTCGTGTTGCACCTTTGTTGGCCAGAGGGCCAACCGAGGATGTCAGAGCTGCTGGAGGAGATGGGCTTGTGTGCGTGGCGGGGACGTGGGGGCGGGGCTGGGAGGGGGAGAGACGGACAGACTGGCTGCAGCTGGCGCTGACCGTGCGGCAGGCCTCGCAGAGCACTCCAGTCAGCGCCGAGCCACCTAGGCCACCTCAGCAGAAGCGTGGACGGCCCTCTAAGGGCCAGCAGTCTGGGATTTGAGGCTGGGGCCCGCAGGCACCCCGGGCGGACATCCGCCTCTCGGGGCTTGCCTTCGTGGCCAGCGGGGGTCTCTCACCCCAGCAGGAGCCCCCCTGTGAATTCAAGGCTGGTTCGGCCAACGGCCGTCGCAGGGACGAGATGTATTAGTTTGTTGCCACAGCTTCATGTGGCTGATCACTGCCTGTTGAAGTCAGAGATCGTCCCCAGCGTTCAGTTCAGTTCAGTTCCTCCGCCTCCTCTTCCTCCTCCTCCTCCTCCTCGTCGTTCTTGTTTTCGGAACACCTTCAGATAACGCCCTGGTAGCTCGCTCGTTCTTGTTCACCCCCTCCTCCCCCCTCCTCACTCATGCAACGACACCAGCCGACGACGATGGCGGCGCAGGCGATGGCGCCAGTGGCGACGGCTGACGGCGGCGACGCCAACGCCGACGGCGGCAAGCGACGAGCGACGAGAACGACTGCGGCGCACGGCGATTGCGACGACGACGGCGGCAGCCCCCCGCCGCGCGACACCTGCGCATCACAAGAGGGGCGAATGAGGTAGAGAAACTGCCACGACATCGGCACGCATCAGGGGATCGATGGAATCGTGGACTGCCCTGGCAGCCCAACTGCGTAAGTCTTAGGGCACGAGAGCACGGAGGCTTCACGTGACGGCTTGCGCAGGCCGCCAGTGGAAAGCGCGTCGTAGAAGAGGGACGCGGACGGGCCGGCTCGCGGCCGTGTGCGGGCAGCTCACACGCGAGCGGATGTCCGCGCAGTCCTCCTCCCTCCCGTTCCGATGTCGCTCGCCTGTACTCAGCGCCACACTGACGAGTCCTGACAAGACGTGACCTTGATCCATGCAGGAAGGTGGCGCGGTCGTGCCACTCGCTTGCGCCATGCCCTGCGAAACAGGCGCTCCCCTGCAACTGTCCCGCCGCCCTCCTGCGCGCGCGCTGCCTCGGTGGGGCTGATGTACAGCCAAGTCGCATAATGTAAGGAGGATACGCGGGAAGGATGCAAGGGCCATCGAGGGCCATGCCGACACCTTTCGAGAAGGGCGCGGGCAGCGAAAGTGGCCAAGAATGCGCCGGAGGGAAGCATGCAAGGGTAGCCTTAGAAAGTCGCTCATGCTTACTATGCGACTTGACTGTACTCGAGGATCTACTGACCCGGATCAATCCAAACCCGGTCAGTCAGGTGTTGCAGGATCCTGCAAGGATCCTGCCCCCAAGCCCGGGCCAATGCAACCCCGGCTCTGCAGGATCCTGCGAGATCCGGCGCTCTGACTGACCCCCGTGTGCACTGCTTGACCTCCGTCTCTTGAGCCCCGATGTGCAACTAGGTCTTTTCCGCCGACCTCAGAAGCGAGCGGCCCAAAGACCGTGACCGAGTGCTCTGCCAGCCGCGGCGCCCTGGCCCGAGCCTCTTGCACGGCGCCGAGCAGCCTCGCGGACGACCGCCCGCGCAGCTCTCCCGTGCGGCAGCCTCCTCGTGGGCGTCTGCGGCAGAGGAACAAACAAAAGCATGACCATGAACGTCTAGGGGTGCGCGCGGATCTCTTCAATCGGTGATGCACTGCCCTCATTCCCTGGCGCGCGGAACGCACCGCCAGGGTTAGGTCGGGCCTGTCCCCCTACAGGTGGATTTTGGACGAAAAATGAGAAATACGCAAAAACGCGAATCTGCCCAAAGACGCTCTATCTTTGAAATATTCCCCCTGTAGCGGGACAGGCCCGACTTAACGCCAGGGGGCTCCACACCGATCCGAGAAATCCGCGCGGACCTCCGAACGTTCATGTGCAGGTCATTGTTGGTTCCCCGATGCGGGGCTGCACCGATGCCCGGCCGAGCTCCTCGCGGGACGCCCGGCGTCCTCGGACGTCGTCGAACCCAGCTGCTGGAGTTAAGTCGGGCCTGTCCCCCTACAGGGGGATTTTCGACGAAAAATCCGCCGACCCCTTGGGGTCATCGGCGTGTGAGATGCTTCCCCCCTCCCCAAACCCCTCCCCCCGGAGCCTGGTCCGGTCGTTTTGGAGGGGGGGGGGGGGGGGTCCGGCCGGATTCCCCGGGATCCGCCGGCGCGGTCCGGGGGGGGTCATCCGCTCCAGAGAGTCTGCTGGGGGGGCCGCAAACGAGCGAAGAGGCTCCCAAGAAGCTCTGCAGACGGTCCAAGAGGGCCCCGAGTCGCCGAAAAAACACTCGAAGACGGTCAAGATGGCCTCCAGATGGCCCCAGATGCCTCCAAGACGCCCCAAGAAGCTTCCAAGACGCCTCCCAAGATGGCCCCAAGAGGCCAAAATCGTCGATTTCCATTGGTTTTTTCAACGTTTTTGGCCTTCGCGTTTTTTCGGGCTTCCGACGCTCCAAGACGGCGAAAGAAGCCCCCAAGACGGCATCAAGACGACCCGAGAGGCTCCCAAGTGGGCCCCAACACGGCCCAAGAGCGCCTCAAAACGGCTCAAGAGGGCCTTCAGACAGTCCAAGAGGGCCCACAGAGGGGCCCAAGAAAGGCTCCAGACGGGGACCACGAACCTAAAATTCTAGCCTTCCGCCCCAAAAGGCGCCAAGGAGGCCCCAAGAGGCCTCCAAGAGGCTCCAAGAAGCCCCCAAGAGGCCCCCAACAAGCCCAAAAAAAGCCCCAAGCTGCCCCAAAACAGCTCCCCAGAAGCCTCCAAACTGCCTCCCGCAGGCCCCCGAGAGGATTCTCACGACGACGGCGCCAGAGGCTCCCACAACGGTCAACGACGCCCCCAAGATGGCCCCAAAAAGGTGCCCAGCCTACGCCGTCGAGTCTGTCGCCGCCACTGTCGACGGCCCACGAAGGCACCAAGAGGGGCCCAAGAGGACAACAAATAATTCAAAAATCTAGCCTTCCGCCCCCACGAGAGTGCCCCAAGAGGCCGCCAGAGGCCCCCAAGAGGCCGCCAAGACGCCCCAAGCAGTCCCCAACAGGCTCCCAGGAGGCCTCCAAAAGACCCCCAGACGCTTCCGCATTGCGAGCCGTCAAGCCAACTGCAATGCACTCCGCGCATGCAGCCTTGCTCTTCCTCGCGACGTGCTCACAATCTTGCTCGGCGCTAATGTGCTGCTGCTACGCGAACTGTTTCGCGCGCGCTGCAAACGTCAACAGCCTCTTCACCCGTTTCGACTCATCTGCCACATCTTTCGCGGTGATGTTTCGCTGATCACAGCTTCCGCACGCTACTCTTGCTCCTTTCGTCTTCCGGTGCTCCTCCACTTGGTTGAGGGTCGAAAGGCCGACCTCCCAGAAAGACACCCCGCACCCGGGTGCACAGCACGCAAGGCGCTCGCAAAACACGCCCCAGACCACCGGCATCACGCAAACATTTGGACCCCCCCACGTATCTGCCACCACCCGCGCGCGACACCGCACCCTCACACAAGACGCCGCTGGCCAGAAACTCCTGGCCTCGCAACAGTCACAGAAGGGGTCGGCGGATGTGGCGTAAGCCTGTAGAATAAAAAATACGCAAAGAGTACCCCCCCAAAGGGCAAAAAATAATCAAAAAACCGTCCCCTGACTATATTTTTGACCATTTTGGAAAATTCCCCCGGTAGAGAGCCAGGATCGACTTACTGCTGGAGGCAAGGAGGCCGCGAAGCAGGAGGACGGCGACGAGCACCAAGCGCCCGGCGCCGCGCGCGTGGCGTGCGCGGCTGGCGCCGCGGGCCTGCGCGGTGGCGTTCTCGACCCTCGCGCAGGCGGCCGCCACGCGGGCGCCGATGGTCGAGGAACAACAACGTGCACAAAAGCATAGACATTCGGAGCTCCGCGCGGGCTTCTCGTTCTCGGCGCTGGGGCCCCCAAATAAGAATAAGAATAACATTAAGAATAAGAATAAGCAGAATAATAATCAGAATAAGAATAAGAATAATAATAATAAGAATAAGAATAAGAATGATAATAATAATAAGAATGGGGCCCCCTGGGGGCGCCGGCGGCGCCGCCCCTGGCGCGTCCCGCGCGCCGAGGACGGGGGTCCAGCGCCGACGCGAGAGGTCCGCGCGGATCTCCGAAAGCTAATGTTTTATGCCATGTTTTGTTTCCCGACGCGATAGGGCCGCTGGCGCCAGCGCAGGTGCCTTTGCGAACGGACTCTGCCAGCTCGCGAGCCATTTTTCCAAACCACCAATTGACAACACATGGTCCATCCACGGCTGCGATGACGAGGCGTGCCGCGAGGCTCCTCCTGACCTCGACGGCCCCGGTGAAGAGCCTGGGGTTGTTGAAGCACCGCGCAAGAGTCGCCATGGCCATGATCAGGGGAACGAATAATGGCATCAACATGAAAACTCGGAGGTCCGCGCGGATTTCTTGGATCCGCGCTGAACCCCGCTCCCTGGCGCGCGGAGCGCGCCAGGGGCGGCGCCCGAAGCGCCGCCAGGGAGCCCCAGCGCCGATCCAAAAAATCCGCGCGGACCTCCGAGTTGATATGCTTATGTCATTCTTCGCTCCCCTAATGATCTGGGGGATCGCGCAGAAGCGGTGCACCGCTGGATCACGGAGGCGCCCGAGGTTGGTGGGCTTGCTTTCCATCGCCACCAACACAGGCAGGAGGGGGAAGGGGGTCCTCCTCCTCTTCCTCCTCCTCCTCTCCTCCTCCTTCTCCTCCTCCTCCACCTCCTCCCCCCCTCCGACTTCTGTTGGTGGTGGAGAACAGGCCCAGCAGAGGTACTCGAGGGAGTCGGGCACCAGCTCCAGCGCGTCCGCCACGAGCTCGTTGAGGCACACTAAGGCCTGCTCGCCGGCGCCTCTCCCGGCGACCTCTCCGCCGGCACCCTCCAGGGGGGCCCACCGGCCGGCGCCGTGGGCGGTGGGCCGCGCAAACTCGCCCAGGTCGCTGGTCTTGGCCAGGGCTCGAGCGAAACAGCGTTTTTTGCTGAATCGGGGCATCATCATCATCATCATCATCATCATCATCATCATCATCATCATCATCATCAGCAGCAGCAGCAGCAGCAGCAGCAGCAGCAGCAGCATTATCATCCTCAGCATCGGCATCATCATCATCACCATCATCATCATCATCATCAGCATCATCATCATCCTCATCCTCATCCTCATCATCATCATCAGCATCATCATCATCACCATCATCATCCTCACCATCATCATCACCATCATCATCCTCACCATCATCATCAGCAGCATCATCAGCATCATCATCATCATCATCATCATCAGCAGCATCAGCATCAGCATCATCATCATCATCATCATCATCATCATCATCATCAGCAGCATCATCATCATCATCAGTATCGTCATTGTCATCGTCATCATAATCATCATCAGCAGCAGGATCATCAGCATCAGTTGTGTTCGTTCTCCCTCGCTCTGTCTTCGTTCTGCCTGCGCTGCAGAACGACATCAGAACGAAATGGGCCCGCGAAATCGCCAAAGCACCGTCTCGCTCGAGCCCGGGTCTTGGCATGCTTCCTCCACACGCTCTGCGGCCAGACTGCCTGGCCGCCCACGTAGTCCTCCAGGTAGTCGCGGATCGCGCTCGCCTTCTGCAGGAACAGACTGCTGGAGTGAGCCAACCCGAGATCTGCACACTCCTTGGCCGCGTCGGCGCAGAACGGCCAAACCCGCTCGCCAGATGCCATGATAGCATCCGCCTCCACACCTCGTGCAACAAAAAGTCTCGTGAATCCTTCGCCAACCGAGCCAGCAGTCATGTGACAGTAGCGGTCGTATGAAGCCTGGTCGACTGTACCTTGGCCCAAGTCGGCGGTCGCATGCTCGGCCATGCCTGCACCCACTTTATTCACAGTGTCCCAGATGACTCCGCGGGAACCCTCTGGGAGCGTCTTGTATATCCTGGATACGGCTCCGAAATTACGGAGGAGAGCTGCCTCGTTGCCAGCCCCGATGCTATGAATGCCGCGGTCGTCGTCGGTGAAAAGCTGATCGCAGAAGTCTCGCAGCTCGGTCTCCTTCGCGTGCTCGCGGCCTCTGTACCTCTCGGTGTCTCCCTCGACGGTGCACAGGGCACACAGGGCGAGACAGAGAACGCAGACATCGAGGCACAGGCCAGGGGGCAGCTGCCTGACCACGGCTGCCACAGAGCGCGAGACGCTGGCGAGCATGTCGTCGCAGCGGGCTATGTCGGGGTTTCCCCTGGATGCCGCTCTCATGTTGTCCGCGAGGAGGCCCCCGAGCTCGAGCCGCGGCGCAGGGGCCGCCTCCAAAGGGCGCAGCAGCCGGCCGACCTTGGAAACGGCACGGGCCAGAGCCTTGCTGCACCTCCTCAGTCATCCAGCGTCTCGATGTAGTCGAGACACGGGTCCCCCTTCGACCACTTCCCCAGGGGGCTGGCTCCTTATCGCGAGTCGTTTCTTTGACGGGCCCCCAGGCACGGTGAAGGGCCCCGAGAGGCCGCAGACGAGGAACAAACCTCCATCTCGATTCCTCCGAGACGCCAGATATCTGGGACGCGCCCTGCTCCACTGAGGGGCAACGACAGGGGGGGACTGGCACAGGTGGGGGACTACCGACCTGGAATCGGCGATACATCGCCGAGTGATCGGCGGCAGGCCCACGATGGCGAATCCGCACGTTCCTGGGCGGGGTGGGGCTGTCAGGCCCCTATCGGCGACCAGTGGGCGATTGGAGATCGATGCGTCCCGCCTGGAGCCTATCCCCTCTAACGTTCTCCTGTGGTTTCCGGGTCAGAACTCGGCTCTCCGGCGGCCGTTCGGGACGTTTCCCAAGCCGCCAGAACGCCCTCGACGAGGCGCAGCGGATGGAAATCACCACGCGCTTGAACACGTCCGCAGACTCCCGAACATGCTCGGGAACTTCCGACACTTGGTTGAAACGCCTCCACCCTGAGCCCGACTATCCCCCCCCCCTTTCGTTGGCCCTGATCCACGTCGCGCGCCTGGTCGCCCGCTGCCTCGAAGTCGGCGAGGCCCTCGAGGCGGTCCTCGCGCTCCGCGGCGAGCGCGGCGCGGCGCTGCGCGTCCTCGCCGCCCTGCCGGAGCGCGGCGCGCTCCGCGCCCATCGCGGCGTCCAGGCTGGGCGCCGCGCCTCCGGCGCCGCCGTGGTACTCGGCGGGGGGGTCGAAGCGATGGATTGCGTTAGGAGGCAACTGATGGGAGGCCTTCGTCGGAACGAGGAGGGGCCAGTCAGCCCGATGCAGCGGCTCCTGAGCCAGGTTGGGCCGGGCACGACCCATGACTGAGCTGGACTGAGCGGGATTGAGCCGGATGAGCTAAACGGGATTGTGCCAGATTAGCTAGGGTTCAGCCAGATTAGGCCGGTTTGCGACCAGGGATATACTGGCGCCGAATTCAACCTCCCAGGAGTTGTATCCTAAGATGGTGGAGACGTCCACGAACTTGTCCGTGGCTATCGCCGCGTCGAGGTCCGCCCACCAAGGGTCGAGCAAGCTCTGGGCGATGACGCGGAACCAGGGCGACCAGGACCGCAACTCCTGGGCGAGGGGGCCGGTACCTCCAATGGCCTCCCTCAGCTCCTCGCGGGCCAGCCACTTCACCGCGGACACTTCGTCGGGGTGCGGCATGATATCTAGTACCTCGCCTGGCCTCAGCTTGTACAGCAGCAGATAATCGATCTCGTGCTCGCCCCAGGGGGCCTCGGCGCCATGTGTGCCAACATCTGCGGCCCAGTAGTGCACCCTGGTGATGAACTTAAAGCGGGACGCATCAAGCTGAGACTTCGGGATGCCCAACTCATGCCCAAGTTTACGCACTGCGGCATGCTTTACACCCATTGGGCTGCCTGACGAGATTGCATCGGGAGAGTCCACCTCGGATGGTATCATCCCGTGAAGCGGATGGCTGCAGCAGGTGTTTGTCCACACGCTTGGAAAGGTGATCTTGCTAGCCGCACGCTGTTGGAGCAACATCCTGCCGTCGGCGTCGAAGAGCATGACCGAGAAGGCACGGTGTAGAATTCCCTTGGGCTGGCCGGGGAGAAACTTGTGGCAATTATACTTGTTATCATGACCTGTCACTTCATCCATATAGTTTTAGGTCGGGCATGTCCTCTTACAGGCAGATCTGGGAAGAAAAATCCGCCGGCCCCGTTGCGGGGCCATCAGGCTGCGAGGCTTAGGTTTGCTGCTCCCTGCGCCAGTTCCAGTTTCCAGTTTTCCAATGTTGCAGTCTTGCTCTTTGCTTCCAACTGTAAATTGGTACTGTCCGCGCGCGGGGGGGGGCCGCAAACCAGCAAGGTTACCACGGCCCACCGGGGTTCTCAGAATTTTTCTGGGGGGCCGTGGGACATGTAAAAATACGCGGGATTCGAACTCCCGACACAATAATCCCGAGTAAATGACGCTATATTCGCGCCCCTGAGGCCAAATTGCCCTGTAAATTACGATTGAGGCCACGATCCCCCGTAAATTGTATTTCATTCGCGCTCTCGAAAACAATCTCTCGTAAATTACCCTGCATTCGCGCTCCCGAGACCACGATTCCCAGTAAAGTACGCCACACTCGCGTATTTTTCAGGTGCCACGAACCCCCGCAAATCACACCACACTCGCGCTCCCGAGGCCGCGAACCCCGTAAATCACGCCACGTTCGCCCCCCCGAGGCCATAATCTCCTATAAGAGGCCCCAAGAGGCGCCCAAGACGCGCCCAAGAGGCCTCCAAGAAGCCCAAAAGATACTCCACGAGGCCCCAAGAGATCCCCATGAGGCGCCCAAACCGCCTCCGAGAGGCCCCCGAGGGGCTACCCACGATACCCCAACACATATACAAGAGGCCTCAGACCCACAAGCCACGCACAGTGGCGGGACGGGCCGAAAGCTACTAAGATCCGCCGCCCCCTGTCGATTCATCGCAGGGGTGCCTGGCGTGCCGAACTATATGGCTTTGGGTTTGGTTCTTTTTCCAAAAGAATTCCCCCTGGGGCTTCGGCCCGTCCCGCCGGGGCCCCGGGAGATTCCCGAAAATCCATCCGTCAATGCCTTTGTTGCCCCAAGTTGGCCCAAGATGGCCTCCAAGACGGCTGCTCAGGATGGCCTCCAAGATGCCTCCAAGACAGCTTAGATGGCCTGAAAGACGTCTAAGATGGCTCCAAGATGCACCCAAGACGGCCCAAGACGGCCTCAAGATGGTCTACGACGGCCCAAAAGGCCCGCAAGAGGCCTCCAGGACGGCCCAAGAGTCCTCCAAGACGTCCTCCAGGAAGGCCCGAAAGGGCCAAAATCAGTTATTTTGTTGAAGGAGTTTGGCATTTGCGCCTTTTCGGCTTTCCGACGGCCCAAGCCGGCCCCAGAGGCTCCCAAGATCGCCTCAAGATCGCCCGAGAAGCTTCCAAGATGGCCCCATGACGGCCAAGACGCCCCCAAGACTGCCCAAGAGGCCTCCAACACGCCCAAGATGGCCTCCAAGACGCCGAAGATGGCCTCCAAGACGGCCCCGAAGCGCTCCAAGAGGGCCCCAAGTCGGCCCAGAGAAGCCCCCAAGACGGCTCCCGACGGCGCCAGACGTGCCGGGAACCCACCAAGATGGCCGAAGTTGGCTCGAAGCTGGCCCAAGACGGCCCAAGAGGCCCCCAAGAGGGCCTCCAGGAAGGCCAGAAGAGGCCAAAAACATAGATGTTCCTATGGTTTTTTACGGGTTTTGACATTTGCTTCTTTTCGGCCTTCCGACGGCCCGAGATGGCCCAAGAGCCCCCCAAAATCGCCGAAAGATCGCCCAAGAGGCCTCCAAGATGGCCCCAGAACGGCCCAAGAGGGCCCCAAGACGGCCCCCAGAGGCCCCAAAGACGGCACATGAGGCCTTTAAGACGCCCAAGATGGCCTCCAAGACGGCCCTGGAGCATTCCAGGAGGGCCCCTAGTCGGCCCATAGAGGCCCCCCAAACAGCTTACGACGGCGTCAGACGGACCAGGAGCCCACCAAGACTGCTGAACATGGCCCTCAGATGGCCCAAGACGGCCCAAGAGGCCTCCAAGAGGGCCTCCAGGAAGGACCAGAAAGGCCAAAATCACTGATTTCCCATGGTTGTTTGAAGGATTGTGGCATGTTTTTTTTTCTGCCTTCCGACAGCCCGAGACGGCCCAAGTGCCCCCAAAGATCGCCCAAGAGGCCCAAGACACGGCCCCCAGAGGCCCCCAAGACGGCCCAAGAGGTCTCCAAGACGCTCAAGATGGCCTCCAAGACGGCCCAAGAGCCCTCCAAGACATCCTCCAAGAAGGCCCGAAAGGATCAAAATGGCCTCCAGGCGGCCAAGATGACCTTCAAGATGCCCACGTGTTCCCCGAAGGCGTTCCAAACCGATTCGGGGAACACATGGTCCGATGGCTTGGC